CCGGCCCGCGGCCCCCGCCTCGTGTGGGGCCGAGGGGCGGGAGCCTCGGGTGGGGCGCGATCCCCGGGACGTGACAGCACTCCCGGGGAGCCCGCAGGATCCCCAGGGCCTCGCAGGATCCCTGGAGCGTTCCGGGATCCCCAGGGAATCACGCGCTTCCCTGGAGTGCCGCAGCGTTCCTGGAGCATCGCAGGATCCCTAGGGCAGGCTCCCTGCGGTGCTGCCGCGTCCCCGGGGAAGTGCGGGATCCCTGGAGCATCACAGGGGCCCCGGGGCAGAATCCCTGGAGCGCTGTGGAATTTCAGGATCCCGGGGCGGGAGGGCAGGTTCCCTCGGGCACTGCAAGATCCCCGAGGATCCCCCTTTGTTTGCCAGACACCTCGTCCCCACCTTCCTTGCCCACCTCGCCCTGCCGGAGCCAAAGGCGTCTGCTCCAGGACCCCCGGTGTATGCAGAGCCGTTGTGGTTGGGAAGGATGCTCCCATCCCAGGGCTCCGTCTCCTTGGAGATGCTCCCATCCCATGGCATAACCAGACTGCCCGTTTCCCAGGCGTTTCTGCAAAGCCCTTTGTGGGGCAGAGCTGCCTGTGGGAGCCGCCCGGCCACGGGCTCCGGCCGGCCGGGATCGCCGCCTCGGGCAGCTCCGTCGCCGCCGCCTCGCGCGCGGGGCTGCTCCGAGGCGGCTTCCCGCACGGTGAGCCCGCTCCCGGGGCCGCTCCGAGGCAGCCGGAGCTCCGCGTCCCGCCGCCAACGCGGGCGGCTCCGCGGCTCACCCCGGGAACCCCCGCAGGGTGACGGCGGCTCCCGGCGCTGCCTCGGCACCCACGGAGCGGAGCCGCTTCCACGCGTCCCATCCAGCCCCAGAGCGGTTACGCGTCCTGAAAACACACCCGAAGCCCCGACGTGAAGAGCAGCGAATCTCCCGTTTTAAACACAATTAGTGAGGCCAAAAGCTACGTGGATCCTGACGGAGCTGGATAAAACTGAGCAAAGAGATGGGTATTGCCCCAGAGAGACCAGGATCTGCTGCATCGTATCTGCCGTGCCATGGGTCACTCATCCCGGCTCCCATCGCTCCTTTGAGATGCCCCGTGGCCTCGGCCTCCAGTGCAGGGTGATCCGGCCGGGCGTTTGGGGCCATCTCTGCCCTATTGGACGTTTTGGGGGAGTTTTGGGCATCGGGGCTGCGGGTGCCGGGCCCCATTGCCTGGTTTAGGTGTCGCGTCTCCCTTGGGGCCCTTGTTCACGTTAAACGCAGGTTATTTGTCTTGCACTCGGTAGGAGGAGCCGCTTGGGGGCATCTCAGCATCTCCCTGGTGTTCCTAAAGCACCCGCCTGTCCGTATGCGCTGGATCAGCGGGAGAATTGGCTTTAATAAAAGCATGATTTTGTTCCAGACCGTTGTGCCCAAGCTGGGCCCTTCCGTCCCCGCTCGCTCTCAGGGGTCTGCAGCGCCCCGGGGTGCCCGGGCGGCAGCGGGTGACGGGGTTCTCGTAGCTGCGTCGCGGGGCACGGTCTCTGCTCCCGCAATCCAGCCCAGGGCTCCCGCCGGGCGCCCGAGCGCTCCCGCGTCTCCCGGCGCTGCCCGGGACGTCCCCCTTGTCACCATGTCCCCGTGCCAGGCTGGGTGCAGCGCGGTGCCAACCCCGCGCGACGCGGAGCCGCGTTTCGCTGCTCGGAGCCCTGTTCCGCATCCCGGCAGCGCTGCCCTTCCGGAGCCTCCCGTGCGAGGCGTCCTCGTGGTGGCAGTGCCGCTGTCCCCATGGCCTGACGGTGCCACTGTCCCCAATGGGGTGTCAGTGCCACTGTGCCCAATGGGGTGGCAGTGCTGCTGTCCCCATAGACCTGGTAGTGTCACTATCCCCAAAGGGGTGGCAGTGCTGCTGTCCCCAATGGGGTGGCACTGCCGCTGTCCCCACATGGCGTCACTGTCCCTGTGAGGTGTCAGTGCCACTGTCCCCACATGGTGGCAGTGCCATTGTTCTCAATGGGGTGTCAGTGCTGCTATCCCCACACGGTGGCAGTGCCACTGTCCCCAATGGGGTGGCAGTGCAGCTCTCCCCATGGCCTGACAGGCTGCTGTCCCCAATGGGGTGTCAGTGCCACTGTCCCCAGTGGGGTGGCAGTGCCGCTGTCCCCAATGCGGTGTCAGTGCCGCTGTCCCCAATGGGGTGGCAGTGCCCCTGTCCGCATGAGCTGACAATGCTGCTGTCCCCGGGGGACAGGGCCTTTATCCCCAAGGTGGTGGCTGCACCATTTTCCCCACAAGGTGGCAGTGCCGCTGTCCCCAATGTGCTGGCAATGCCATTGTCCTCAGTGGGGTGTCATTGCCGCTGTCCCCACGCGGTGGCAGTGCCGCTGTCCCCAATGGAGTGTCATTGCCGCTGTCCCCACGCGGTGGCAGTGCCGCTGTCCCCACACCGTGGCAGTGCTGCCGTCCCCCATGGGGTGGCAATGTCCCCCGCAGCCTGCGCCCCATGGCCTTCCAGGTGGCTGCAGCTCCTGCGGTGTCCGCGAGGTGCCAGGATTGATCCGGGCTCCGGCCGGCCGCGCTCGGGCTCCCGCTGCCCCGCGGCTGCAGGGGGCAGCACGGGGGGGTCCCGTCCGGTGCCCACGTTCGGGGCCGCCCTTGGCGGGTCCCCCCGGTGGGTCCCGCACGGAATGAGGGGCCAGTTCCCCTGGCACTGTTCCCGGGGGTGGGATACGGCTCCTCCTGCACTGCCGGGACCCCCGGCGCGGGTCCAGTGCCCATGTTGCAGCAGAGGCGCTAACCCTCTTGGGCCCCCCCCTCCCCGAGCCCGGTGGCACCAGAGCAGGGACTGGGCTCGGCCCTGGGCTCTGCCTGGAGCCGCGCTGAGACCCGCGGCTTGTGACACCCGGCCCCACACGAGCCCCGGCTCGTGGGCAGGCGGCAGACGGGGACACTGGTCACCCGTGTGCCAGGGCAGGGCTCGTGCAGCCTGGGGACGGCCGCGTCCCCGGCCCTGTCCCTCCTGCTTGGTGACAGGAGCAAACCTGGGGGGGTGTTGGCTGCAGGGGCGCCCAGACAGGGCGATGGGGGCAGCTTGGGGACCCAGAAGAGCCAGGCCGGGGGGATCCACGGCGCAGCCCTGCCTGCGTGTCCTGATCACACCTGCATGCTGCAGTCGCTGCCGAGCTGCTTGTTCCCGCGCGCAGCCGCTGGCAGCTGCTGCGGGCGCATCCCGGCAGCGCCTTCCCGCATCCCGCCCCGGCGCGCCAGGAAGGGGCCGAGGGGCCTGGGAGCCTCTGGGTGCGGAGGGACCTGGCAAGGGGGCAGCCGGGGCGGCAGCTCTGGCCCTGCGGAGCCGCCCCCGGCTCCGGTGCTGCCTCCTCCCTGCGGATCCGGGGGGATCGCCCTGCTCCGTGGCTGTGGCCGCTGCATGAGGGGTGGTGCTGGCCGCAGCGGGGGGTCCGTGGGGCCTCGTGCCCACCCTTCCCGGGCACCTGACACGTCCCTCGGGGCCCTTCGCAGCAGGACGAGGGCCGGCACAAACCCGGGCTGTGACGGGGCCAGGTCCCTGCATCCCCCTGCCCGGGAAGGACCCGGCCCAGCTGGCCGTGAGCTCCGGGGCCCCGGGGCTGCCGTCCCGCGATGGAGGGAGACGACGCGGCACCGGGGCTGCCACCGGCCGCCATGGGGGACAGGGGACAAGGGGAACAGCCATGTGCATGCGAACGGGAACGGCCTCGCGCGCTCCACGAGCTGCCCCGTTTCGCTTACACGGCAGAACGCGCGGGGGCCCCACCCCGGTTCCCCCCCCGCCCCCACCGCAACTGCCCCAGGGCCAAACACRGGCACGGGGCCAGCGGCGCCGCCCGGCCCGGCCCGGCCCTGCCGGCACCGACCCAGCGCCTGCGGCTGCCGCCTCTTGCAAAACACCTGGCGGTGCCGCCCGCCCACCCGCCCTCCTGCTCCGTGGCCTCTGCGGGAGCCGCGCTCGGCTCATCCGGCAGCACCGGCGGCCCAGGGGCACCGGGCCCCTTGTCCCGCCTGGCCCGGGAGTCCAAGGAGCCTCCGCAGGCTTCTCCTGGGGGATCCATCTGGAAAGCGACGCCGCTGCAGCTCCCGGTTCTGGCCTGAGGTCTCCTCAGTTGCTGGTGCAGACGTGGCCGGGGCCGCGGTCCTGCTCCGGGGCTGGCAGCAGGGGAGGCTGTGGGGGTCAGGTCCATGTCCCCATCTTCCCCCAAGTGCAAGGGCTGCTGCGGCCCCGCGGTGCCCTGTGGGCCTGGGGCAGGACGGAGGGCTGAGATCCTGCTCCAGCGCATGGCAGGAGCAGGGGAGCAGTTTGGGTGCAAAGAGGGGGCAGTTTGGGTGAAACTCTGCGGATCTGGGGCCACCAGGTACCCCCTCATGGAGCTCCCGTGCGTTCCCGCTCCCGTCCAGGCTGCACTTGCACCCCACTCTTTGCCTTTGCGCATTTAACCCATGACCAAACCTGGAGGAGGAGAAGCCTCCACGCAGGAGCAGGCGGGGGCTGCCCCCCCGGCGGTACCTGGCCGCATTTCCCGCTGACGCAGCCGCTCTGCGGCGGCTGCCACGACTTGTCCCTGCCCCGCGCGCCAGCCCGGAGCCGCCGCCGGCCGCCCGCGCGTTCCCACGCGGCCCAGCCCTGCCCGGCCGCCCCGCCGGCCTCTCCCGCGCCGCCGGCGCCGCCGCGGACGGGAACCTGCCGCTCCCTCCCGCTTGCAAAACCCATTGGCGCTGACGCAGGCCGGGGTGAAACGGCTTTGTGCAGCCCTGTGTCCCTGCTGCTGCCCTCGCTGCCCTCCCGGGGCCACGGCCCAGGCTGCGGATGCTGCCGGGTGGCCAGTGCCGCCGTTCCCATGCGCCTTGGGAAGCTGCTCCTGCGTCCCTGTGCAGCGGCAGCAAAAGGGGCTACGGAGCCAGTGGCCTCTGAGCCCTTCCCAGCCTGTGGCAGCCGGCAGGGCTGGAGCTGGTTTTGGGGCTCAGGTTCCCATGGCCTTGTGGGTTCCCATGGCCAACGCGGTGCCCAGGGCCTTGCAGCGACCTCGGCCCCTGCTGTGCTGGGGCACACAGAGGCGGGGGGGTCAAAGGAGCCACCGTGTCCTGCACCAGCAGCAACGGGCTCGGTGCCGGTCCCCAGGGCTGCACAGCAGCAACGGGCTCGGTGCCGGTCCCCAGGGCTGCACCAGCATCAACGGGCTCGGTGCCGGTCCCCAGGGCTGCACCAGCAGCAACGGCTCAGTGCCGGTCCCCAGCGCCGTGCCAATGGCAACGGGCTCGGTGCCGGTCCCCAGGGCCGCACCAGCCGCAGGAGCCCATCCGGAGCCCGGCCACGTCCGCGCCATGCTGCATGGAGGGGACAGGAAGGCACCGGAGCGGCAGGGACGAGGCTGGCGCGGGGCCACCCCCCCGCCCCGTGGCAGCGTCACCGCTCAGGAACGGGGCGGTGGTGGCAGGTGCCGCCCGGCGCGGCCGCAGGAATGCGGCGGCTCCCAGGTGCTCCCGCCCTGCAATTACCCGGGCGAGCTGTGGCACGGAGCCCTTGCCGCGGGCCTGGGCGCGAGGGCGCTGACGGCGGCGCCCGCACCCGGCATGCCGGCTCCTGCCCGCCTGACTCAGCGGGGCGGCACCGGCGGTGCAGGGGGCTGCAGCCCCGTGCTAGGCTCTGCTCCATATCCCCAGCCGTCCCCACGACTGCACCAGCCCCAGCCCCAGGGTTGCGGGACCATCCTGTTGCCACCCAGGCTGCAGCATCTGTCCTGACCCCTTCCCCAAATGTCCCTTCTGGAACAGCTCTGCAAGCGCCAGGTCCCCCCCTGCCCATTGCACGGGGCCTGTGGTCTGTGTGGACCCCAAGGGCATCCACAGGCGGGAGCCACTCGGGAAGGAGGCCGGTGCTTCCACCGTGCAGCAAGGTGGTCACTGCCCTGGTTGCTGCCCACGGGGACTGGGTGCTGCGGGGTCGTCTCCTTGTAAGTTGCATGGTGCCACCCGGAGCGAAGTGGCAGCGCTGCGTGCAGACCTGGGGCACATGCCTGCACACACATGTGCAGACCTGGGGCACATGCCTGCACACACATGTGCACTCCCTCACACACGTGTGTGTGCTCCCCTCTGCTCACCCACAGGCTCAGCACCAGTCCCTGGTGTCACTGCTCTGATCGGTGGCCTGGCCTCTCTCTGTGGCTCCCACTGGTGCTGGCCGCATGGGACTGACTGACAGGCGCTGCCTGCGTGGCCGTGGGGCTGTGGGGTGTGGGGCGAGGGGCAGGACGTCCCCGGCACCCTCATGCTGGGAACCTGGTGTCCTACCAGCCCCGAGGGGCGCGTGTGTGTAGCCCTGACACAATGCACGAAGCTTCCGCATGCTGCAGGGTACTGGCAGCCAACACTGTGTGCTCCATGTACCCCTCCCTGCACCACAAGCCCTGCTCACTCTGTGCGCCCTTGCAAGCTCCAGGCACCCCTGGGTGTCCCTTGAATCCCCTATACACTCCATGCACCCTTCGCAGCTCCAAACGCCTGTGTGGGCTCTGTGCACCCCTCCCTGCATTACATAGCCCTGCTGTCTCTGTGCACCCCTATGGACCATGCACCCCTGTGTGTTCCGTGCACCACTGTGTGCTCCATGCATCCTTCCCTGCTCCACACAGCCCTGCTGGCTCTATGCACCCCTGGGCACTCCATGCACCCTCAGGAGCTCAATGCACCCCGTGTGTTCCACGCACCCCTGAGCACTCTGCACCCTTGCGAGCTCCGTGTGTGTTCCACGCACCACTGTGCACTCAACGCAACCCTCCCTGCACCACACAGCCCTGGTGGCTCTGTGCACCCTTACGGACCGTGCACCCCTGTGCGCTCCATGCATCCTTCCCTGCTCCACACCGCCCTGGCGGCTCCGCGCACCTTTGCGAGCTCCGTGCACCCTTCCCTGCCCCGCGCACCCTGCGCGCTCCGTGCACGCGCCGCGCGCGCTCGCGGGGCCGCTGCAGCGCCCCGTTGCGCCAGCGGAGGGCGCCCTTGCGCAGCATTTGCCGCCCCGCGGCAGCGCCCGGGCGTCCCGAACGCCCCGAACGCCCCGAACGGCCCCGGCGCTGCCGTTCCCGGGCCCACGGGCCCGCGCAGACCCCAGGCCGCCCCGTGGCCCCGGTAGCGCAGCCACCATGGGCCGGGTCGAACCGCGCCGGCCTCAGCCGCGTGCCCGGCCCTGGCCTCCCTGCCCAGGCGGTCGGTCCCGTGCGGCCACGTGGAGCCAGCAGCCCGGGGGCTCGTCCATAGCGTGTGGGAGGTTCCTGCCCTGCGCTGCCCCTTGCACTCATCCGTGTCCCTGCGGCTGTAGAGCCCAGGTTGCCTCCCAGGAAGAAGGAGCTTCCCAAGGGCGAGCGTGAGGCCGAGCCGGGCAGCGGGATGCGGTGCCAGTGCCGGAGCTGGGCAGAGCCCCCGTGGGCATCACGTCGTCCAGCAGCAGCACGAACGGCCCCAGGGAGAGGTGGGCAGCAGATCCCAACAGCCGCAGCCAGAGGGGACCACGCACCGCCCTTAATCTCGACCCGCTGCTCTGGCTGTGGCCGAGGAGGTGGCTGGACTCGTGTCCTGCAGTTCCGCCGTGCCATGGGCTGCCTGCAGGCTGCCAGGCCCAGGGAACGCGGCGGTTCCCCCTGCCCAGACCCTGCGCGGCCGCAGCCGCGTCCCGCAGCGCGGGGCAGCGCAGGAGGACGGGTCCCGCAGCGCGGGGCAGCGCAGGAGGACGGCGCTCCAGCAGCAGCACATGCTTCCCGCCAGTGCCGCCTCCAGCCGTTTGCTGCGTTAGAAACCCACGGAGCGTATTCCAGAGACGAATCCTGTAATTACAGCTGCCTATCAGGGGATCACAGTGCTGTGGACAGGAGTGGGGGGCCTGCCAGGCCCGGGCAGGTTCCATGCGTTGGCACCGCCCTCGCTTCCCTCCGCGCTGCACGCACGGAAAACCATTAGCGTTGCAGGGTGGAGCGGCGCATCCGGGCCCGGAGCGCGGCTGGCCGCGAGCAGCGGGTGCAGGCGGCCGGGAGCTGGTTCCGGATCCCTGTGGAGTGCGCGCTGCTGCTGCCTTGTTAACATCCCCGTAAAACCCTGTGCCAAGCGGGGAGCAGCGAGCGGGACTGCAGCCTCGCGGGGTGAGGCCACCTCCTTGCAGGGCCTCCTCCATGGCGCTGGGGCTCACGGGGGCTGTTCTCACCCTGGGGTGTTGACCCTGGGCCCAGGACCCCGGCACCGGCCCCGTGCTGTGCCAAAGGGCACGTGGCGGTGACCTCGCTGCACTCCAGGCTGTTCCCATTGCAGCCGCTGCACGGAGCAGCCCGGTGTGGAAACAGCCCCCAAGGCATTTTCCAGGTGATGCTCGGGGGCTGCCGGGACTTGTCCCAGCAGACGGTAAACAAGCACACGGGAACAAGGGCCGCGTCGCTCTGGGCGCCCTGCCGCGCCGGCGGCGGCCGTCGCCGCGGTGGTCGGGCTTTCCCAACAGCCGCAGCTGGCGCAGGAGGCGGCTTCCCAGCGCCGTGTCCTCGGGCTGGTTCCTGCCGAGCAGGCACAGCAGCTGCTGGCCCACAGGGGAAACCCCATGACTCCTAATTAGCTCCTATTCATTAGATTAAAAGTGCAATTAAGACTCTTCCTGGAGGTGACCGCGGGCTGCCCGGGCTCTCCCTGGCCGCCCGCATGCCCGGGGCCACTATAGCTGCACGTTGGCCGGCTCCTGCCCGCTGCACGATCCCTGCACGATCCCTGCATCGCTGCAGCAGCTGGCTCCGAGCTGCGCCCCGCAGCGCCCCGAGCACCGATAGCATCAGCGGCTCCGATAGCATCTCCTCAGTGTCACCCTGCTGCTCTTTAGCTCCAAGGAATTTATTGCGGGTGTTCAGCGAGAGCCCGGGAGCCCGAATTCCTGCGGCGCGCTGCGGAGCGCGGCAGCGGGCGGCCTGGGTGGCACCGTCCCGCCCCGCGCGCCGCGTGGCCGGTGGTCGGGGAGCTGGCATGTGCAGGGGCAGCGCCGGGCACAGGGCTCCGCGCCAAGGAGCGGGAGCAGCGGGAGACGCTGCCGCAGACCCGGCAGCCACTGGAATGTGGAGCAGAGGAGCGTACAGGACGGTCTCCCTTTGCAGAGCTCTTCCGTGGCTCCTCTGCACCTGCTGTAATAAAAGAGCCTAAAGAGCCTTTATATATTTAAATAAAAGTCCTGAAGAGGACAAGAGGCTGAGACTGCGATGACATGGAAAGCAGAGCCATAAACCCAAGCGTGTCCGGCCTGCGGGGCTGCGGATTTGCCTGCTTTCATGGCAAGTGTCACTTGAGGCTCCCTAGGGGCCTGGGGGACAGGACGGAGGGGACTCGTAGTGCTGTCCCCGGACCAGCGAGCGGCTCATGGGCAGTGCCGAGCAGCAGGGCTCCCGCTGGAAACCACTGGAAGCAGCTGGAAAGGCTCGGAGCGGGTGGCCGAGGACCACGGGTCCCACAGGGCCCGGCTGCAGGTCGGGGGACCCGTGGCTCCGGCAGGGAGCAG